ACTTTTTACAATGGTGGGAGAGTCCCAATATTGAGGCTCGATGTCTTCAACACAGCGCCTTCAATAAGTAATCTAGTGTATATATAAACCATTGGTCTCTACCAGTGGTCTCAACCACAGATAGAAGGGGTTAGTTACCAATATGATATTTCTCTCAACTTAATGTTGAGAGTTATAACAGTAGAATACACAAGGTGCAATTTCAAAATGTGTTTGTGCATCAGCAATTTTCCTGTTGTTATGTTTTGTTTTTATTTTTAAAACAACTTTGAGATTCTTCTTGTATTAAAAAGCGCTATATAAAATAAATCCATTATTATTATTATTATTATGATTATATTTAGGCTCCTCCCCACAGGGCCAATGGGGTGGCGAACTCTATTGAGGGCGTGGCCAAAGTAAAAAACGCCTCCCAACCAACCATGTTGGTTGTCAGCTTCTTCAAAGGTGAGACGTGGACCTAGTCCCAACCACCCCTAGCTTCTAGCCCCAAATCAACCCTGAACCCCCTGCCCCTACCTCACCTATCTCTCTGTGTGTGTCTAGGTTTCCCAGGTGATCTATACTGGGTTCTGTGTACAGACTACAGTAGTTTTTCTCTGGACTACTCCTGCACAGATTATTAAGACTGGCCTGGGAATTCCTAACCAATTTGTAACTGAATATGACTTGGAATCACAGGAGGTTGGTGGCACCTTAATTGGGGAGAGCGGGCACGTGGTAATGGCTGGAGCGGAATTGGTGGAATGGTATCAAATACATCAAACTGCTATAAATCTATAAATCACTGCTAGGCAAATCCCCGTCTTATTTTAGCTCACTGGTCACCATAGCAACACCCACCCATAGTCTGCGCTCCAGCAGGTATATCTCACTGGTCATCCCCAAAGCCAACACCTCCTTTGGCCGCCATTCCTTCCAGTTCTCTGCTGCCAATGACTGGAACAAACTGCAAAAATCTCTGAAGCTGGAGACTTATCTCCCTCACTAACTTTAAGCATCAGTTGTCAGAGCAGCTTACCGATCACTGCACCTGTACACAGCCATTCTGAAATTAGCCCACCCAACTACCTCATCCCCATATTGTTATTTATTTTGCTAATTTGCACCCCAGTATCTCTATTTGCACATCATCTTTTGCACATCTATCACTCCAGTGTTAATACGAAATTGTAACTATTTTGCACTATGGCCTATTTATTGCCTTACCTCCATAACTTACTACATTCGCACACACTGTATATATATTTTCTGTTGTATTTTTGACTTTATGTTTTGTTTACCCCATATGTAACTCTGTGTTGTTGTTTTTATCGCACTGCTTTGCTTTATCTTGGCCAGGTCGCAGTTGTAAATGAGAACTTGTTCTCAACTGGCTTACCTGGTTAAATAAAGGTTAAATAAAAAAAATATTTAAAAAAAACACATGGTTTGATGCCATTCCATTCGCTCCATTCCTGCCATTATTATGAGCCATCCTCCCCTCAACAGCTTCCACTGCTTGGAATGGACTGCTGTAGTAGGAATGTGAATTGACTTATTTGGAATCCAACACCCCTAGGTCTGTTCCATGTCGACTTTGCCTGGATTCTTGCCTGCACACGCTCATTGCCAGTGATGTCATCAGTCATCTCCATGGTGTCCAGGAGGCCATCAGTGTGGACCTCAGATCAGACAGGCTGGGCCTGAGAACAAACACACAGGCACACAGACACACACACACGTTTGTTTTACTATCCTTGTGGGGACCAAACAATAGATTCCCAAACCCCTAAACCTAACTCCTGACCCTACACCTAACCCCTAACCCTAATTCTAACCTTAACCGTTACCCTAACCATAGACCTAACCCCTAAGCCTTTAATAGCCTTTTTCCTTGTGGGGACCGGCGAAAGGTCCCCACTTCTCCGAATGTTCCTTGTTTTACTGTCCTTGTGGACTTCTTGTTCCCAAAAGGATAGTAAAACCAAACACACAGGCACACACACACACACACACACACACACACACACACACACACACACACACACATAGCTTAGTAACTGTAACTACATTATCTTATGAAATAATTAAGTTATATTTCATTTGTTTTCTTTTGTTTGTTCATTTGAAGACTATTGGGATGGGGCCTAACTCACTGTGATTTTCCTGTAATAGAACGATAAGAGGAGGCGAAAGCCTGAATCAGCAGTTAAATGACAAGACAGCATCTTCTGATAAACACACAACAGACACATTCTCTCTCTCTTTGCCCCCCTCTCTCCAGACTGCACCCAGAGGGAACGGTCTCATGACAACAATTTCGCTAATCACCTGCCTTGTGCTGGGTGCACTCTCAGACAGACAGACACACCCTCACTCTCTGTCATACCGAGACCTAAGCGATACAGCAACTTTAGGAAATATATTCTGCTGAATATACATATTTGTGCAGTGGCTACTTCTTGATAAAGTGTGTAAGCGCACAGGTAAGAAACATTTATCTTATAGGTCTGTAGGTTGGAGATGGTGAAAAAGTATTATTTATAAATTTATTATGTAACATATTTGGGTGTCTAGAAATTCATTTGATAAAGTTTGTAAATAGCATACTGGTAAGAACTGATGAATATTCAAATAACAGTAAACAAAAAAAAAGACTATCTAAAACATGATGCATGCTTGGAACATAGTAATGTAAAGTGACTGTGGTTGTGTTCGTAAATTCAATCTGGAGTGCGTAAATTCAGCGCGTTGTCAGATTGTCGGTTCGTAAATTCAGAGCGTTTCGGCTCTCGGGGCGTTAAGAGCGCACACTGGACACTCTGGCCGAGGAGTAGGGTTGATCCGAGCGTTCTGACCACACAACTGCAGTCAAGCACCCAAGCTTAATTGGCTAACGTTGGCTAGCTAGCTAGCTACTTTCCGACACAAATGAGAGAACACTTCACTCTGACCATTTTACTCGCCCTAGCAGAGCTGGTTAGGCTGTTTTAATGTTATCCAGAGCGTTGGTGACTGTAACTGTGCTGCTGGCAACAAATTAATTACGCTTTTTTGCCGACGTTTACTGACACCGGCCATATTCAACAGGTGTTGAGCGTTCATAAATGCATCAGTTATTCTGCGCTCTGGCACACTCAGACGAGAGTGCTCTGAAGTCGGAGTAGATAGACAGAGTGAATTTACGAAAGCACCCTGTGTGACGTCATGGGATGACATTTGGCTGAACTCCTTTGTCAATGTAGCAAAAGTCAATGTTGTAAACAGATCATATTGAAATAAATAGTAGTCTAGCCTACAGTGGAGTAAGTAGGCCTTTATGTAGTCCTGAAAGGCATCTGCTAAATAAAAAGTATTATCGTTATTATTAAGTGTACAGTATCAATCTGGAGTGTTTTTGACACTATGTTTTGCCCTGTCTTTTTTTACAACCCGTCTTTGAGATTTAGGCACAAAGCTTTCTATTTAAATAACACTGGCAGGATTCAGATGTTGTTTTTCAATGTAGGATGAAGGTCATAAGACCATTGAGGCTGGTATGTTTTGTATTCTGAGGGTTGGGCACAGTTCCCATAGGGGCTCACACACAGTGTCCCCATCATATAAACAAGTTCACAGGGACGGGAACTGGAGGAACAGGTGTAGCTGTATAGGTGTCATGTAGACTGCCTGAAGAGTTTAATTGCTCAGATGGCATGTCAAGGGAGATGGTGAAAAAGTATTATTTATACATTTATTATGTAACATATTTGGGTGTCTAGAAATTCATTCGATAAAGTTTGTAAATAGCATACTGGTAAGAACTGATAAATATTCAAATAACAGTAAACAAAAAAAAGACTATCTAAAACATGATGCATGCTTGGAACATAGTAATGTAAAGTGACTGTGGTTGTGTTCATAAATTCAATCTGGAGTGCGTAAATTCAGCGCGTTGTCAGATTGTCCGTTTGTAAATTCAGAGCGTTTCGGCTCTCGGAGCGTTAAGAGCGCACACTGGACGCTCTGGCCGAGGAGTAGGGTTGATCCGAGCGTTCTGACCACACAACTGCAGTCAAGCACCCAAGCTTAATTGGCTAACGTTGGCTAGCTAGCTAGCTACTTTCCGACACAAATGAGAGAACACTTCACTCTGACCATTTTACTCGCCCTAGCTGAGCTGGTTAGGCTGTTTTTATGTTATCCAGAGCGTTGGTGACTGTAACTGTGCTGCTGGCAACACATTAATTACGCTTTTTTGCCGACGTTCACTGACACCGGCCATATTCAACAGGTGTTGAGCGTTCATAAATTCATCAGTTATTCTGCGCTCTGGCACACTCAGACGAGAGTGCTCTGAAGTCGGAGTAGATAGACAGAGTGAATTTACGAACGCACCCTGTGTGACGTCATGGAATGACATTTGGCTGAATTTGTCAATGTAGCAAAAGTCAATGTAAACAGATCATATTGAAATAAATAGTAGTCTAGCCTACAGTGGAGTAAGTAGGCCTTTATGTAGTCCTGAAAGGCATCTGCTAAATAAAAAGTATTATCGTTATTATTAAGTGTACAGTATAACATTATGTTTTTGACACTTTGTTTTGCCCTGTCTTTTTTTACAACCCGTCTTTGAGATTTAGGCGCAAAGCTTTCTATTTAAATCACACTGGCAGGATTCAGATGTTGTTTTTCAATGTAGGATGAAGGTCATAAGACCATTGAGGCTGGTATGTTTTGTATTCTGAGGGTTGGGCACAGTTCCCATAGGGGCTCACACACAGTGTCCCCATCATATAAACAAGTTCACAGGGACGGGAACTGGAGGAACAGGTGTAGCTGTATAGGTGTCATGTAGACTGCCTGAAGAGTTTAATTGCTCAGATGGCATGTCAAGGGACAAAAGATGGAATGCAAAGGATTTCAGATAGTCACGCTAACCTGTTGTCACGGTTACCTGTACTGCAAAGGCATACAGCTTTACAATACCTCATGGCTTTACTGTTCTTCCCCATCTGTTCTCTTCTCCCATAAGAAAAATGTTTCCTATATTTTGGATCCTCCTCCTTCTCCCTCTGGTCTCCGCCCAGACATACCACTGGGGTCCATGCCCCACCCCCAGCGTCCAGCCCAACTTCAACCTGCAGCAGGTACACACACAAACACACACACACACACACACACACACACACACACAAACACACACACACACACACACAAACACAGAGCTTTTTTGTGATCTAAAGCGTACCTTTTTAACAACCCCTTCTCCTACCCTTATCAGTTCCTGGGCACGTGGTACGAGATAGCGAAACTTCCAGCATCCTTTGAGAGAGGGAAGTGCATACAGGCCGATTATTCTCTGAGGGAAGACGGCACCATCAGAGTCCTCAACTCCCAGTTCTAGTTAGTATTTATTTGTGTTTGAGTGTGTATGTGTGTGTCTGAACTATGTCTAACCTTACCTCATACATAGACATTTAGAAGTCGACTGTCCTCCCTGAACTGAAAGCTAGTACGGTTTTCTCATAGACATGGTTTTTCTAAAAGAGTTAACAGTGTATATCTCTGCCTCCAGTAAAGGTAAGGTGCGGACTGTGGAGGGGACAGCAGTGGTCAAAGACCCAAACAACCCAGCCAAACTGGGAGTCAGCTTCTCCTACTGTGAGTCTCTGCTGTCTATAACTCTATTACCATGACTTTATCAAGTCTCTACTGAGTCTCTGCTGTCTATAACTCCAATACCATGACTCTATCAAGTCTCTGCTGTCTATAACTCTATTACCATTACTCTAGGGGTGGCAGGTAGCCCCGAGCTGACAAAGTAAAAATCTGTTGTTCTGCCCTGAGCAAGGTAGTTAAACCACTGTTCCCCGGGCGCCAATGATGTGGATGTTGATTAAGGCAGCCCCCTTCACCTGTCTGATTCAGAGGGGTTGGGTTAAATGCTGAAGACACATTTCAGTTGAATGCATTCAGTTGTAAAACTGACTAGATATCCCCTTTCAAGTCTCTACTGTCTATAACTCCTTTACCATGACTATCAAGTCTCTACTGAGTCTCTACTGTCTATAACTCTATTACCATGACTCTATCAATTCTCTACTGAGTCTCTATTGTCTATAACTCTATTACCATGACACTATCAAGTCTCTACTGTCTATAACTCCATTACCATGACTATCAAGTCTCTACTGAGTCTCTACTGTCTATAACTCTATTACCATGCCTCTATCAAGTCTCTACTGAGTCTCTACTGTCTATAACCCTATTACCATGACTCTATTAAGTCTCTACTGTCTATAACTCCTTTACCATGACTATCAAGTCTCTACTGAGTCTCTACTGTCTATAACTCTATTACCATGACTCTATCAAGTCTCTACTGAGTCTCTATTGTCTATAACTCTATTACCATGACACTATCAAGTCTCTACTGTCTATAACTCCATTACCATGACTATCAAGTCTCTACTGAGTCTCTACTGTCTATAACTCTATTACCATGCCTCTATCAAGTCTCTACTGAGTCTCTACTGTCTATAACCCTATTACCATGACTCTATTAAGTCTCTACTGTCTATAACTCCATTACCATGACTATCAAGTGTCTACTGAATCTCTACTATCTATAAATCTATTACTATGACTCTATCAAGTCTCTACTGAGTCTCTACGGTCTATAACTCTATTACCATGACTCTATCAAGTCTCTACTGAATCTCACTGAATCTCTACTGTCTATAACTGTATTACCATGACTCTATCAAGTCTGTCTATAACTGTATTACCATGACTCTATCAAATCTCCACTGTCTATAACTCTATTACCATGACTCTATCAAGTCTCTACTGAGTCTCTACTGTTTATACCTCCATTACCATGACTATCAAGTCTCTACTGAGTCTCTACTGTCTATAAATATTACCATGACTCTATCAAGTCTCTACTGTCTATAACTCCATTACCATGACTATCAAGTCTCTACTGAGTCTCTACTGTCTATAACTCTATTACCATGACTATATGTGGTCCTCTGTAGCTCAGCTGGTAGAGCACGGCGCTTGTAACGCCAAGGTAGTGGGTTCGATCCCCGGGACCACCCATACACAAAAAAAATAAAAATGTATGCACGCATGACTGTAAGTCGCTTTGGATAAAAGCGTCTGCTAAATGGCATATTATTATTATTATTATTAGTATTATTATTATATCAAGTCACTTGTCTATGACTGTATTACCATTACATTTACATTTTAGTCATTTAGCAGACGCTCTTATCCAGAGCGACTTACAGTTAGTGAATACATATTTTTTTTATTTTTTTTATACTGCCCCCCCGTGGGAATCGAACCCACAACCCTGGCGTTGCAAACGCCATGCTCTATCAACTGAGCTACATCCCTACCAGCCATTCCCTCCCCTACCCTGGACGACGCTGGGCCAATTGTGCGCCGCCCATGAGTCTCCCGGTCGCGGCCGGCTGCGACAGAGCCTGGATTTGAACCAGGATCTCTAGTAGCACAGTTAGCACTGCGATGCAGTGCCTTAGACCACTGCGCCACTCAGGAGACCATGACTCGATAAAGTATCTACTGTCTATAACTCTATTACCATGACTCTATCAAGTCTCTACTGAGTCTCTACTATCTATAACTATATTACCATGACTCTATCAACTCTCTACTGGCTATAACTGTATTACCATGACTGTATCAAATCTCCACTGTCTATAACTCTATTATCATGACTCTATGAAGTCTCTACTGTCTATAAGTCTATTACCATGACTCTATCAAGTCTCTACTGAGTCTCTACTGTCTATAACTCTATTACCATGACTCTATCAAGTCTCTACTGAGTCTCTACTGTATATAACTCTATTACCATGACTCTATCAAGTCCCTACTGAGTCTCTACTGTCTATAACTGTATTACCATGACTTTATCAAGTATCTTGTCTATAACTGTATTACCATGACTCTATCAAATCTCCACTGTCTATAACTCTATTACCATGACTATCAAGTCTCGACTGAGTCTCTACTGTCTATAACTCTATTACCATGACTATCAAGTCTCTACTGAGTTTTACTGTCTATAACTCTATTACCATGACTCTATCAAGTCTCTACTGAGTCTCTATTGTCTATAACTCTATTACCATGACTCTATCAAGTATCTACTGAGTCTCTACTGTCTATAACTCCATTACCATGACTATCAAGTCTCTACTGAGTCTCTACTGTCTATAACTCTATTACCATGACTCTATCAAGTCTCTACTGAGTATCTACTGTCTATAACCCTATTACCATGACTCTATCAAGTCTCTACTGAGTATCTACTGTCTATAACCCTATTACCATGACTCTATCAAGTCTCGACTGTCTATAACTCCATTACCATGACTATCAAGTCTCTACTGAGTCTCCACTGTCTATAACTCTATTACAATGACTCTATCAAGTATCTACTGAGTCTCTACTGTCTATAACTCCATTACCATGACTATCAAGTCTCTACTGAGTCTCTACTGTCTATAACTATATTACCATGACTATATCAAGTATCTTGTCTATGACTGTATTACCATGACTCTATAAAGTATCTACTGTCTATAACTCTATTACCATGACTCTATCAAGTCTCTACTGACTATAACTGTATTACCATGACTGTATGACGTCTCTAATGTCTTTAACTCTATTACCATGACTCTATCAAGTCTCTACTGAGTCTCTACTGTCTATTATGCTATTACCATGACTCTATCAAGTCTCTACTGAGTCTCTACTGTATATAACTCTATTACCATGACTCTATCAAGTCTCTACTGACTATAACTGTATTACCATGGCTTTATCAAGTCTCTTGTCTATAACTGTATTACCATGACTCTATCAAATCTCCACTGTCTATAACTCTATTACCATGACTATCAAGTCTCGACTGAGTCTCTACTGTCTATAACTCTATTACCATGACTGTATGACGTCTCTAATGTCTTTAACTCTATTACCATGACTCTATCAAGTCTCTACTGAGTCTCTACTGTCTATAACTCTATTACCATGACTCTATCAAGTCTCTACTGAGTCTTTACTGTCTATAATTCTATTACCATGACTCTATCAAGTCTCTACTGAATATAACTGTATTACAATGACTATCAAATCTCCACTGTCTATAACTCTATTACCATGACTCTATCAAATCTCTACTGAGTCTCTACTGTCTATAATTCTATGACCATGACTATCAAGTCTCTACTGAGTCTCTACTGCCGATACCTCCATTACCATGACTATCAAGTCTCTACTGAGGCTCTACTGTCTATAACTCTATTACCATGACTTTATCAAGTCTCTACTGTCTATAACCCCATTATCATGACTATCACGTCTCTACTGAGTCTCTACTGTCTATAAATATATTACCATGACTCTATCAAGTCTCTATTGAGTCTCTACTGTCTATAACTCTATTACCATGACTCTATCAAGTCTCTACTGAGTCTCTACTGTCTATAACTGTATTACCATGACTCTATCAAGTCTCTTGTCTATAACTGTATTACCATGACTCTATCAAATCTCCACAGTCTATAACTCTATTACCATGACCCTATCAAGTCTCTATTGTCTATAACTATATTACCATGACTCTATCAAGTCTCTTGTCTATAACTGTATTACCATGACTCTATAAAGTATCTACTGTCTATAACTCTATTACTATGACTCTATCAAGTCTCTACTGAGTCTCTACTATCTATAACTATATTACCATGACTCTATCAAGTCTCTACTGACTATAACTGTATTACCATGACTCTATCAAATCTACACTGTCTATAACTCTATTACCATGACTATATCAAGTCTCTACTGTCTAAAACTCTTTACCATACTCTATAAACTCTACTGAGTCTCTATGTCTATAACCTATTACTGCTCTATCAAGTCTCTATGAGTCTTAGTTTTAAACTCTTTTCCATGACTCTACGAGCTTACTGGTCTCTAGCTATAACTTTTCCCATGGTTTTAAAATATCTGTCAAAACTGATTCCAACTTATCATATCCACTTCTATAATCTATTACCATGACATCAAGTCTCGACGGGCCCTATGTCTATAACTTTTTACCTGCCCTTTTAAAAAGTCTCTCGAGACTCTACGTCTAAAACTTTTGCCATGACTCTATCAAGTCTCTATGATCTCTACTGTCTATACTCCTTTACATACTAAAAGTTTTATAGTTCTATGATTAACTCTTTTACCATGACTCTTAGTCTCTACTGGGCTCTACTGTCTATAAACATTACCAGACTTTTTCAAGTTCTCGGATTTTCCCTACTGTCTAAATTTCTATTCCATGCTCTATCAATTTCTACTATCTAAAAACTCCATACCTGACTATTAAGTCTCTCCTATCTTACTGTCTATAACCATTACATACTAATAAATCTCTACTGTCTAAACTCTATTACCATAATTTACCCGTCCTACAGAGTATCACTGTCTTAATCTTTTCCATGACTCTTAAGTCTCACTGTTATACCCATTACCATGACTATATAATCTCTACTGTCTATAACTTACCATAACTCTATCAAGTTCTACGGAGTTCTCTGTCTAAATTTATTACCATACCTATCAA